GGATGTTGCACTAATATGTTCAAGTTATAATTCAATAAAAAGTTTGAAACCATAACAAAGGTCTGGAGTGGATGGCACAACGGATCGGATAGAGTTCTTCGCCGATAACTGGGCGGTGCCTAGTGGACCAGGGGTGTATACCAAGAGCTTATCTGACTCAGTCCAATCAACGAGAGGATAAGGTCAACCCATCCTGGATACTCCTCCCCCACTATGAGAAGAGGCGTATTAGATAATGTACCAACGCCTTTTTCTGTTCTATTTCATCATATTTGTTTCTAATGTCAACTAAATTACAAATTCGACATTTTAACAGAAATCAAAATTGCATGTATCTTAATATTGACTTGTTTGCACACTATAGTTAAAGCCAAACTCAATGTCTTTTGAAGTGAAATTATACGTTTGCTATTTGAAAAGGGAAACAGTATTTTGCAAATACTTAACAATACAATACAATATAATACAATAGCAGAGTTGGAAAGGACCTTGGAGGTCTTCTAATCCAACCCCCTGCCTAGGCAGGAAACCTTATACCGTTTCAGACAAATGGCTATCCAACATCATCTTAAAAACTTCCACTTATTCAAAAATCATACTAGAATTATAGGAAAGCCTAATAATTATTCATCATATTGTATTCTAAATTGATCAGTAATTTATCCAGATGAAATTGCAATTAAAGCATTAATGTTTATTTAGTCCTTCTCAACGGTTTGATATATTTGAAATATTGTCTGATTGCAACAGAGAATTCTTTCATTCTGGTGATTAAATACTTAATCTGAATAACAAAACATCTGTTTTTTTTTGGCTTCTAGCTCATCAGTCTACACAGCTCATACCTGTGAACTATATTAAAAATGGCTGCTAGTAAAGCAAAAAGTCAAAGCTCTCTTGCCCTTCACAAAGTAATCATGGTGGGTAGTGGAGGCGTGGGCAAATCAGCACTTACACTTCAGTTTATGTATGATGAGGTAAGATATTTGTTGCTTTTCTATTTATAGGTATTAAAATGGTGTACAATAGGGTCTGCACTAAACTGCTTTTACTGTGCATTGTAGGACATCAATGCAAGACCATAAATTTGTAAAACATTTTTCAGAAAGAGAAATAATTTTACTCTGTTTTTTCCTGCTGGTAGTTTAGATTAGATCTCATAGTTTTAAATATAAAAAGCAGTCTAGAATAGTCAGCAAAATAACATCTCTTTATAACTTTTTATCCTTGAAACTATTTTTCTTTTCAAAACCAATATACCACTTCATACATTTATATTTTTCTTCATATTTCTCAGTTCTGTTAAGAATGTAATCATATATAAGAAAGTGGCAGAAATTCTTAAAGGAGTCATATTGCTACATTTTCCCATGTACAACAGTTATTCCTGCAGCATTATTATTTTCATCATTTTAACGGGCTGTTTTCACCAACATATACAGCATTTCAATTCTAGCCTGTAATTATTTATATAAAAAATTGTTCTGCATGGCCTTTGTCATTTTTTTCTTAAGCATTCCTTGCTCTCTTCTATTTTGCAGAGTATAAGACACTCTGGAGTATAAGACGCACCTTCATGTTTGGGGAGGAAAATAAGAAAAAAAAATCTGCCTCTGTCTACCAGCATCCATCAGTATTCACCTAGCTAGCGACCTTAGTAAACAGCCTGTTCAACTTCAGCACATTAGTTTGCTGGTTGTGAGCACGGGCGCACGATCACAGCTTCAGCTGATCATTGCAGGGAGTTCCAGTGAGTAAAGCAGTCAAAGCATGGAAGCGGTCAGACAAGGCAGCAGCTGTTCTGGATTGCCATTTTGGCTTCCGTGCCTTGTGTTTTAAGCCTTTAAACGCTCCGTTTGAGATATGTTCAAGGCTCCGGGGATCGCCAAAGCACATTAATGCCGATTGTCGCCCAAAAATGTGATGTGCAGAGGCCAAATCTGAGGCATGCAGAGGACTGAAACACAATGTGCAAAGGCTGAAAATGCGATGTGAGGAGGCAACGATCGGCAGTGGTGTGCTCTGGTGATCCCAGCAGCCTTGAACAGGTCTCAAATGGAGCATTCAGAGGCTGAAAATGCAAGTCGTGGAGGCCAAAAATACAAACCACGGAGGGAGTCTATGACAATCCCTGCAGCCTGGAACAGGTCTAAAACGTGACATGTGGAGGCTGAAGGGTGGGCGGGGCTACATTCAGTGTATAAGATGCACTCAAATTTTCAACCTCTTTGGGGGGGGGAGAAGTGCGTCTTATACTCCGAAAAATACAGTACATCCTTTCAAACTTTTGTTCTTATAAACGAACTTTGTTTTTTCTCTTTTACAGCAGTCATTCTTTGCTGTGCATGTTTCTCATCCATGGCTTCTTTCATTTAATGATTTTGCTGCAAATTGTATTTCATAGTTCACGTTTTCATTACTATTTCATAATTGCGTACACCTAGAGTAATTCTGTATATTCTCTCCAAGGAGTTTTTTCATTCTCTTTCCTTTCATTCATTGTATTAGGAAATTAATTTATCTTCTATATTTTTTCTACACAAAGCTCTTATTTCTCCCCTTCTACTTTCTCTCTAATTATTTTTATTTTTCTGGAGTTTTTTATGTCGATTTTCTGAAGATCTTTGTTGACAGTACCAGAAACAATGACCTGTCTTAAACTAAGAACTTCTCATCCCCTTTATACCCTTTAATCTACTGTCAAACTATCAAAGTAGTCATACTTAATTATTCATTGTTTTTTTATGTATACGTATGAATTGACTTAAACTATATGCAGGTAATCGTCCGGTTACCAGAGTTCCTTTAGCAAACATTCAAAGTTATGCAATCAGAACTCCCTAGTGTTTACGAACAAGTCCCAAAACTACGAATCTTGTAGCCCCACGGCAGTTGTTCACCCTTATGAACAATCGTGGAGAGACTGCAACATTCCTCCTGCACTTTGCTGGCCAAAATGGAGGTTTGGAGGGGCATTCTTGCGGCAATGCTCAGTTTAGGCCTGGGCAGGCCTCACCTGGCACATTGCTGGCCAAAATGGAGGTTCAGAAGGGTAGGCCTGCCCCTCCTAATCTCCGTTTAGGCCTGCTTACTCCCACAAATCCTCAGGTTACAAATGTAATGGGCAGCCCTCATTACATTTGTAACTAGAGGACTACCTGTATTTGAAACGTGCCTTTTTCTAAGCATATATTTACCTAATGATCACCTTTGTAATTGATCATGAGTTTTAGAAAATTCATTTAAAATATTGTATAATTTTTGCTACGTTTTTTCCTTACTGTTTTGTTATCAACATTCACTGGAGTGATCATTATTCACCAGACTGTAATACACAGTTATCACCAGTCTACAATTATATTCATCCACAACAATCTAGATGTCATCCATTTATGTTTGATATGAATATCAAAATCATACATTTCAGATATTTCATAATTACATCTATCCTTTGATTTATATGTTTTCATCATCTCCATTAGTTCAACTATGCTTTCATTCAAATTTATTACTCCTTTTATCCTAGTTTCACAGCATAGAATGTAATTGTTTTTCTTTAATTTATTTCCTTAATTCATCCTCTTAAATATCATTTACTCCTCTTACACTCAAGTTGTAACCTTCTACATGCCATGGTTATCAGTAGATAGGCACATAAATCTGCTATCCAATGTGGCTTTTGATAACTTAAGATTTTCACATAAGATGTTTTTCAATAACACAGGAAAGAAGTAGATTAGGTTACTAGTTGTCCATGCCACATGAAGCATTTCCTGCTAATAGTAAAGACACCTGGGTCAGTTTTGGCATATTTTGACTAGTATGCCCTGAGCACAATCAAACCCAGTTTTTTCCAAACATTTTCACTCTGTGTAAGGTAGGATTTCCAATATAAAGACTACTTTGCAAGTCAGCATATTATTTCCAGTATCCCACCATGAGTGGAGTATACAAAGTACAAATGCTTATTAATACCAATTTTTACCCCATTTTATGGATCATGCTAATGTGGGAGAAGCATAATATCTGACTGGGTTGCAATCTCAAGATGAATAATACTTAGGACTTCAGAGGTAGACTTAGAATTGCTTGAACAAATTCTAATGGCAATAGATTTATCATGAAAGGCTTTCATGAATTTTCCTTCCAGAATAAATATTTTCCTTTACTCACGATAAACCAAAGCAGAATTTATACTTATAAAATCTACAAGGTTTTTTTTTTTTAAAAAATAAGAGTACATTGTTTTGATCCCTAGATTATTAATTGAAGCAGATCTTTAACACATAAATGAAGGAAACATTTGTATCTCAGCGCTATATGCACTGGAGCCGCAAATAGGCATTCTTGTTAATTGCATATAAAGGCATTATCTATAACTTAATTTGCTGTTTAAAGGAGTGCTAGAAACTTATTTCTAAGTGTTGTTTTATGCTTTCTAGTTTGTTGAAGACTATGAACCAACCAAGGCTGATAGTTACAGAAAAAAAGTTGTTCTAGATGGTGAAGAAGTCCAAATAGATATTCTGGATACAGCTGGGCAAGAAGATTATGCAGCTATTCGAGACAACTATTTCCGGAGTGGAGAAGGTTTTCTCTTAGTTTTCTCCATTACTGAGCATGAATCATTTACAGCCACAGCAGAATTTAGGTAAATATGTTCTCTAGATGTTTTCATTGGAGTTTGATTTTTGATTGAATTTACAATGTGTCCAAAAGAAAGATGCTATCTTTCCTTTTATTTCCAGAACACATTAAGCTTTGAGCATCTGCTAAACTGAACAGGAAAATACTTTTCCTTTGAAGACGCAAAGGGTACTGATTAAATGTGGCTGTGGGGACTGCATTTTTGTAGAGCAGATACCGTATTAGGCACATCTTCCCCCGCCTAAAAGAGGGTGAAAACTTGGGTGTGTCTTATACACTGAATGTAGCCCCACCCACCCACCAGCCCCAACCCTTTGGCCTCTGCCTCCCAGCAATTTACCTCCTTGCAGCAAATGGGGCTTGTGGAGGCTTGTGGGGACTGCAGTCCCTGCAGCCTGAAACAGCTGATGATCGGGAGGCAAATTGCTGGGAGGCAGAGGTAGATTTTTTTTCTCCTTGCGCTAATCAGACTGTTTGCTGCAAGGAGGTAAATCAGTAACTATAAATGCCTATAGAATGTTCAAATTATTAGACTTATTTTTTAAAGACTGTTTTTTTATTATTCTAGACAACTTAACAAAATGAAGAAGCTTTTTAAAATAAATGCTGATCTGAAGAGGCCCAGTGCTATTGTATCTTCTTTTAAATAGCAGAGAATAACTATACTTCCAGAAAGCACATCAATTTTAATAGCATCTGTACAAGTATAGTCTGAAATGTAACACTACATACCACACTTCTTGCTTCTGACATGTATGCATTTTACACCCTAGTAGGAAATAATGATTAAGGCCATATTTACTGTTTTGCTTTTAATATGCTATACTAGAGAACAGATTCTCCGTGTAAAAGCTGAAGAGGATAAAATACCATTACTAGTAGTGGGAAATAAATCAGACTTGGAGGACCGTCGACAAGTGCCTGTAGAAGCTGCTCGAAGTAAAGCAGAAGAGTGGGGGGTGCAGTATGTAGAGACATCAGCAAAAACAAGAGCAAATGTAGATAAGGTAAAGTAAGTTTGTTTTCAGTAGTGTTTCATAAATGAGACTGTCAGATCACAGTTGACAATTTTAAAAAAATGTACTTGTATATAAACGTAAGACAAAAGAATTTGGTGAGATCTCCACATCTGATGGAAGATCTGAGAGTAATCACTATAAGGGTTATCAACCACTTTGATTTAATGAAAGAACTTGAGGAAATGGTGACATAATGAACTGTAGCTACTTTTTGTAAATAGAAGTATATCTTTGGTAATTATACATATTAGCACAACTCTTGACTTATGACAGTAATTGAGCTCAGAATTATGGTAATAAATCATTGCAGTATTTAAATCAAGACATCATGTGACCAGATTCAAAGTTACGACTACTTTATGACAATTGTTAAGCAAACATAGTCATTAAGCAGCTCCATTTTCCCCCAGTGGTCCCTTTTGTTGCTGGAAAGTGGAAATAAATGCTAGGAAAAAAGGTTACAAAAAATGTAACAAATCACGGTGACCTGACTGTGGGTTGCTGCAAGTGGTCGTAAAGGAGAATTGGTTGCCAAACTCCAAATAATAGAATATGCAAATTCAACTTGTTTTTTCAGGTTTTCTTTTCCTCGCTATAGCTAGACGTAGCTCTATCCCAGAGAGTTCCTGTGCTTTCTGCACCAAACTCCAAATAGTTGGTAGGTAGTCCTCGACTTATAATCATTTGTTTTCTAACAGTTTGAAGTTACAGTGTACTGAAAGAAGTGACTTATGACCATTTTTCAACCTTACGACTGTTACAGCATCCCCACTTGGCAACTGACTCATATTTACAATGGGTACTGTGTTGGAGGTCATGTGATCACCTTTTGCGACTTTCTGACAAAGGTCTGACAACAGTCAATGGGGAAGCTGGATTCATTTAACAACTGTAACTTCAGTAATTCACTTAACAACTATAGTAGCAAAAAATGGTAAAATGGAGCAAAACTCACCTAAAAACTGTCTTGATTAGCAACATAAGTTTTGTGATCAATTGTGGATATAAGTTGAGGACTACCTGTATAAGAAATTTTTCATGGTTAAAATTAGCCATTTAAAATCACTATTGTGAATTAAACAATATGTTTAAGGATTTGTTACCTTTTTTCTTAGTATGTTGCATTCATTTAAAACATGCGCTACTTCTTTATACAAGCCAGTCTTAAATGCTGATAATACAGTCTAGTTTTTTCTCTTTTTAGGTATTTTTTGATTTGATGCGAGAAATTAGATCCAAGAAAATGTCAGACAATAAAGACAAGAATGGCAAAAAAAGCAGCAAGAATAAGAAGAGTTTTAAAGAACGATGTTGCTTATTGTGACCTTTAAGAGCTACACTTATAGGTGACAGTACTAACAAGACATTTTACTACTAACAATAGAGGACTGAATTAATAGGAAGAAACCTGAATTCAATACATTTTTCAACTCACATTGATATAAGAATAGAAGTTCAACAGATCCATGTATACCAAGAAGGATGATTCTTGACAGCAGCTGTCACTGGTAAACAGTAATGCAAGCATTTTTTTCCTTTTATCATAAGCAATTTACCTGTTAGTCATATGGTGCACTCTGAATTTACCTCTGGATGCTGTTTCAAGGGCACTCCTCAGCAATTCTTCACCATCCTTTTTGTTTAAATTGCAAGTTTTCACTGATGTTCCACCAAAGTTACCTGTCTTTTCTTTGTGACTTCATTTTATGTGTTCTTAAAGGCTTAAATGCCTTTGGTTTTTTTTTTCTTTTCTTAAACCACAAGTTGACAAAATTGTATAGTGCTGCTTAAAATAAGTTATGGTGGTGTCAGTTTTGCTGTTTTGCCAACATATTAGATGGACAGTGTAAGGCTTTATCTTTAAAAAAACCTTGAGCAGTGAGTTAGCATTTCCATAATGACTATAGTAAATTTCAGAACATTACTAATTATATTCTGGCAAATTATATCATCTTAAATTGGGAGCAAATTAACTAGGAATCTTGAGGCAGAGGAGTTTCTAAGCTTAACCCAATTTTTCAGTACATTTGTTCAGGATTGTGGCATTTGAAGTCCAAAACCTATGAATGACATCAAGCTAGAAATTTTTGGTTTATTCCATTAAGTAATTCTATCTTTCCTCCCAAAGGGTTAGTTTCCTCCCAGAATGTGGACATTTTTACTCATGGTGTTGTGATGGTTTGTGGTTATGTATTGAAGCCATAGTGCTTGTTACATTTGCTCTCAATGTTTAACGGAAGAAAGGGTTTTTTTTTAATGTGAAATTTCACATTCTGTAGTTTCATGAATTGGATACAGTCCTTGTTTTAAAAGTGAGTGGTTAAAAAAAGTCCCCAAGTTCTGATCCTGCACTTACTCTATTTGAACTATATATATATTTTTTAAGAAACTTGTACAGAAAATGTTTCTAGCAGTTTGTTTGAAACATGATGCATTATAGTTAGCTTTACTTTCTTTCTCCCATGAGAGTTGTTGGTATCTGCCTAGGTGATACCAAGATACGGAATTCTACTCCTGAGTGAGCACTCCCTCCCTACTGGTTTCCATTTTATGGAGCAGTGGTGGCTAAATTAAAAAGACGGAGATGGACAATCTTTTCATATATCTATATCCAAGGTAATAATGAGTTGCCAAAAAGTCTGACCCTTGCTTTCCTTGTACGAGAACTTTTTATATTATTCACTGGATAATGGGATAAAGTTTGTAAAGACAGCTAAATTTATTCAGTTAACATTTTTTTTTCTTTTGTCACTATTTGATCATTAATGGGGTAAATAAAAATGTCATGTAGAAGTATATCATTACACTTTAAAAAATAGCTATGGCCAGTTCATTAAACCATTCTTTCTGAATTTGGGGCTCTTTTAAACTGTAATTTTCTTCATTTCCAAACAGGATGTGAGAGGAACCCTCAAAAAGCACCAACCTGGAGAAAATTCTGTTGAACAGATATACTTTATATAAATGCTCTTATGTGGTCAGTCGTAAAAATACGTTTTCAGATTACGTTTTTTCAAAATTCCAAGAATCCGCATGTATCAGGATGCTTTGGAAGATTTAAAATATCCAGCTTAGATCTGGGCATGCTTTAAGAGAGAGGGAGTTTTAAGAATTGGGATTATGATACCACATAAAACTAAGTCACATAAATCAATGAGCCAGCATTCTGTCCCTTCACCTCAGTATTTTTTTTTAAAAAAACTTTTTTGAATTGTTATGTTTATGTTGGAGTATATACACTGTTTTCATTTAGTATGTGTAGTATGTCATTTTTAGCAAAGGTTATAGAAGGCTGCAAAAATGAGGCCTGTACCTCATTTCATATGGTCCTATATCCATGACTTGAAAAAGTGATAAAACAGCTGTTTCAGAGATAAGCAACGTTGGAAAATAGGGAAATAAACAGGTAGCAGTATGAAGAAGAAGAAAAATGCAACCATGTCTGGATATTTAAAAAGTTAAAGGCTATTGTCTGAGTATAAAGATTAGGATTTATCAATTAAGATTATTTGAAAAAACAACTGATAACGCTAAAATAGGAAACCTATAAAGAAGTTTTATTTACTTTATATTGGCATAATAAAACAGTGCTAAATGATGTATGAATGTATAAGATGAAGCAGATATTGAGTTCACATATTACTATGGGTTAGAGAAGGCAGGGTGTGACTAAATATGTTTATGGGAACTGGCAAGACTAATAAAATACCACAGATTGCTCTTCTAACAATCAAAGTATGGACGTGGTTCAGTGTCATCTATCCTGAACGCAGATGTAGATGTCATAATTTTCAGATATATAGAGCTTTGAGTAACAAAGCATTCTTTGGAGATATAGTTTTGATAGTTACAACAATCTGAAACCTGTGGATTTCATCTTGAACAGGGATGGGCAGCATGTAACTTTCCAGATGTTGTTGAAGGTCAGCCCCAGTAATCATAGCATATGCTAGCTAATAGGAAGGGACACAGGTGTTGAAGAACCCTCTTTGGAGGACCAAAATTTGCTCAACTCCAAGGTAGATGTTTTATGTTGATGATACATAGAAGCTTTCAGAAATCATGAAGGAAGATAGAGCTTCACAGCAATCTCTGAAATAAGTTAACATGAAAAACTTGAGCAATGAGAAACTTGAACAAAAAGAACCTTGGTAATTAAAAAAAGAAGCTATGGGATTTATGCAATAAGAAAGCAAGCAAAAAAGATATTCATGTCTCCTGTTTTTATATGTAGAACATAAATATTGTAATTAAATTACTGTAGAAAGAGCTATAGAAATTTACTAGGGAAAATAACTTGCATAGTTTAGAGATTACTTTAGCATTTTGTTTTAATCTTTGCAAGTGGCTCAGAATCACTTGTGTGAGATGCATGGCCATATAAATTTAGGCATACACAGAGATTCAGGGTTTAGGATGGAATTTGAGAAAGGCTTTAGTTTTTGAAACATCCATATAAGCCTTGCGGTTACAGAACTGTTGTAACTCTTTGAGAGAGATACTTCTTAATATACCTTGCAAACCACTTCTTTTTCATGCTTTGTATAGCCGTAATACTCTGATCCACAGGTGTCAAACTTGCCGCGTCACATCATCGTCATGTGACATTTCACAATATTTTTTCCCCTTTGTGGAGCTGAGGTGGGCATGGCCTGCATGTGACACACTTGGGCCACGGGCCACCAGTTGACACCCCTGCTCTAATCCTTTATTCAGTGGAAATTTATTCCAATGTCAGAACTGCTTGCTGCCTAAATTCATTAAATTAAACATATTCCCTATAATGCCGTAAAAATGAAGCAATTTATTTAGAAGTTGTTTACTTTAAAAGATGTGAAATCAGTATTTAACATTGTTTAAAAATTAAACCATGAATTCGCTTGGTTCTTCAGTTGTTGAATTATAATTCCTAGCATCCCTCATCCTTGCTTATGCTGCTTTGGTTTGTTGCAAATTCAAATTCTGCATTTCCTGGCATAATTGCTTGGCTGCTTATATTGAAGTATTTAAATGATCTAATAGCAAATGGTGCACATTCTTCAGAGGATTTGAAATGTGATAGCATCAGTGATTCACAACAATTGGGGACAGTAAACATAGGAAGATGTCTCACAGTGACTCACGTCATTGGATCTAAGTCAGTATTAGTCCTACTCTGATCAGTAGCAGTCCAAAATTCTTAATTTTGACATTTTTCAATCTTGCTTGAAATAAGTTATGAAATTTGGTATATGTAATTTGGTTTTTATTAAGTAAATGAATGCATTTTTCTCCTGCTTCTGAATGCATTTTTCTCCTGCCTATAAACCCGCTGCTGGGAATCTGGATCTTAAGGATCTTGAGAAGCATAGGACCTACTTCTAAACTTTATCCATTCTAGGAATTATAGGAGATGAAGTCTATTCATACTTGGAAAATCACAGTCATACATGTTTGAGCTGTACTTGTAAAAGCATCTGTACAAATTGGATTCTATATACGTGACAATTAATAAACCATATATGGTCCCACACACTCATTTTTGCACTTAAATGCTATGTAGTTTGAGTTGGATTTCTCTGCTTATTTTATGAATATCTTATGGACCAACACCAGTCAGGCAAAATAACAAAAAAAGTTTGTGAGCATGATACTCATTTCATAAAGTAGTTGATCAAAACATTTGGAATATTAAAATTTACTTATAATTAGGAAATAATTTTTAAAGACCCCAAATTATTTGTTCAGAATTTTTGTAGGAGAGAGAACTCAAAAGTATATTTTCTTGTAATAAAACAAACCCTGAGCCATATTAGAGGGAGAAAAACTAATGGATATCTTACAAACTCATATTAAATACAGTAATTTTTAGTGAACTCTCTGCTTCATTTTAGATCCATAAAATAGTTTTGGAGATTATATTTATAGCTGGTTGTGCAAAATGGGAAATGAACAGAAAAGAAATGTGAAGAAAATAATATTTTTTTAATCTTTAGATGTAAAATATTAAACCAAATGTTTTGAAATGTAATCCTCTGTAGTTTATATCTTTTCAAAAATCTAAATTACAACTCTGTTTTCATTCTCATGCTGATTCCTTTCATTAAAAAGGAAAACAGCTATTATGAACAAAATGCAATTTCTATCAAAGCTCACAGAAATAATATAAAAACATTCTATTAGAATATTGGAACATTCAGTCTCTTAATTTCTATATATACTTTATACTGATGCTTATTAACCCAACTAAATAGAATATAAGCTGCTTTTATTACAATCTTGCTCTTCCAAAATACTTTCAAGTCTCTCCCTGCAACTCTTCTGGTTCATAGATTCTATTCTTTTCCATGTTATGTGATGTAGCGCCACCAATGATGATTACATTGTGTATAAATGAAGTTACTCTGGTTTGTCTGCAAATGATGGTAAAGAAACCCTATTGATATGAAGGTTACTTCAGTATTATTTATGAAATATGTTTGAATTGTTTGAATTATCTTTTTTCAACTTTTAAATCAAACAGCATTTAAAAAATAAATCCCTGATGCTCAGTTGGAAAATGTACATGTATGATTCCGTATGAGAATGGAATTGAAATGAAAAGTGACATAACAGCATAATAAAATTCTAATTTCTCCTCTGAGAAGGCTTTATGAGATATCAAAGAGAGGATGGTTTCTTGAAAGGCCCAATTACCATAATCTCATAATATACAGAAATCAACCTATTTGGTACTCCAGGTTCTATTCCAAGAAAATGGGGTAGTCATTCGACCTCGCAGCAAAGGCTTTTCAATAACTTGCTAGTGACTGCACCATTGGTATATCAGGCAATTGGTAGTGGGGTATTGGAGGTCATGAGTAAACATGGAGAATTGTGCTGGGCTTCAGATTCAAAGGCAGAAAGATGCAGAAGTGTGCATGTGGCTCCTGTCCGCAGTTCTTTAAATTCAATACATTTGTTTTAGAAAAGTGATGCAGCTTTGGAGGACAACTGCACAATCTTAGGAAAACTGGAAAAACCACATTAAGCGGTTGGATTCAGGTACTATGATGTGCCCCCAAACACCTTTTGGTCCTTGCAGTCAAAATGCAGCTGAGTCTTAGTCTTGAGAGTTTGTCCACCTTTTTAAGGCATATAGTAATCCTCTGTTAATGGCAACTGGGACCTGGATTGCTGTCAGTAAGCAACTAGATCATAAATTGTATCACATGACTGTGTTACTTAGTGATGGAAATTCAGGCATTTCAGGTTGCCTTCAAGCAAATCACTGCAGGTTGTGAGGATGTCACAAGCCCACCATTTGGGATCTCTGCTAGCTTCCCTACTGACTTTTCAGAAGCTGGCAAATGGTCACCTTGTGATTGTGGGATGCTGTGGTGGCCAGAACTTGGGACCAATTGTAAGTACCACTCATTCATGCCATTTGAATGGTAGCTGAATGAATGGTTGTTAAAGTAAGAACCAACTGTACCGAGGCAATCAAAAACATATGAAACATATTAAAAGTAATCTCACATGAATAATAGACACTAATGGTAGAAGACTGATTTACTAAATAGCCTATATAATGCATTATTCATTCCTATCCTGAATTTTACTGTGCCAATTTTAGGGAAAGAATCGTGAATAAAAGCTTGCCTTTGTTGTGATCTATGAATCTGCTGTATACCATTATGTACCTCTGAAAAACAAATGAAAAAGTTTAAGTTTCTTAACGTAACTAAAATTTAATATATGTAGTTCTCTTGTCAAGAGTACAAAAGTGGCTTGCCACTGCCTTATTTCAATTTCCTTATAGCCCTGGGATTCCTGGAAGATCTAAGTGTTAATGAGGACACTTCCTGCTTATTTTCAAACCTCTGCCAAGATAGCCAGGTGCTGCCACCTGCTGAAATATGCCAGCTTGTCTACTAAGGAGGCAATAGAACTTGATAAATTCAGATAATCATAAGGGAGTTTCACTTAAGTCTTAACTGCTTGGAGTGTCCTTAAAATCTTTCATCTGGGGCTAGGATTTAATAGCCAGCAATAATTGTAGTGTTTTCCAACAATTTCAAGTGATAATATTCTTGGAACACAGGAAATGAATGTCATCAGGACATGTACAGTTACTTCAAGATTGAATTTATAGTTAAAGGTTCTATATATCACCAGAAGCAATCACTGAAAAGAGAATAGAAGCACTGTAATATAACTGAGGATCTGAGCACAGTGTTTGATATTGTAAATTGCTGATACAGTTACATGTGTATGGAAGAACCTTTAGAGATATGCAATTAACTTATAAAATTGAACTGCAGCAGAGGAGAGGGCAGGGAATGGCTTGCTCAAGTCAAAGGCTACAGTATTCTTCAAAATCTTGGATATGCAGCCATGTTTTACCACAACTTGATGAATTATATAATCGGTAAATGCTAAAAACGTATAGTGGACCATTGATGTTTGAACATATCAGTTCTCAGGTAGTCAAATCCATCTCTTTGTCCCCATCAATTTAATCAAGCGGAGCACTGTTTTTATCAGGGCTAAAGTCAAGTGGTTATCCCTTATTTGCATTATAATTCAGTTGGGTGTCCAGAGATTTCTGTATGGTTTTGAATTCTCATCTTACCCATAGAATTTGTCCTATTTCAAAATACTTTTTTGAGCCCAATTTTACTGGCTGCTCTTCATGTTGACAGTGAATTAATTGACAGTTGACAGTGAATTAATATAACAAAACATCGAACACATTTTATGTCTTATTAAATATAAGGAATTTGTTTTATTTTTTCAAGGCATCTCATTATATTGCCTCATATTGCCTATATTGCTTTCAGTTAGGTACAAGTGAATAGCTTGGTCCAAAGAAAAGCTTTGACAAAAGGATTTTGACAATGGCTTATCAACCCATAACCATATTTCTATTACAAAATCAAGCATATTTCTATTACAAAATCAAGCATAAAAACATACCATTATAGTATACAGTAAAAAAAAAACTACATTGGTAACTTTTAATTTCAGAAGTGGAGGGGGGGGGAGATGTAGGAACAAGACTACTCTTAAGTGCAGGACAAGTTTTCCACTTCTCTGGTCTGTCATAAATACTAGTCTCAACTGTTAACTTCTGAGGCAGGTCACTTAGCTAAGTACTGCCACCTGCTGAATCACAGACAAACAGGCTCACAAACACTGCTCTTCATATCTTCAAAAATTGCTACATGAACTTTAAATATGTATGAAATCGAATCAGTTTTAGTTTTTGTTAGGGACCACTATGCTTACAGTTGAAGAAGAAATTGACCCTCAAGTATGGCTTTTATCTGAAAAAAAATCATCTTGTGCTGCTTCAAAAGAAAGATGGCAGAGGGTCAGAATCACACTGCCTGCCCTCCCTAAAATTACAGGATGTGACACCTGCTATTCATATGCAGTGTGGTGTGTAAATTATGTAAATCTCAGAAGGACAAACAAAAGGTTCTCCACTTGGGGGAAAGTGCCACAGGATCCAGGTTCTCCAAATTGTATGCACACATAAAATTGGGACACACGCTTTGCTTTTAAATTTAGATGCATTGAGAGAGAGGGCAAGTAAGATAAGCAACAATAAAGAGACATCTGCTGTGGGCAATCTGGCTTTCTTGATTTGGAGATTTCTTTAAAAAAAACTTGGGGGCTGAAATCAAATTACGATATAAATTCATCAAAAATTATTATGTCCCCAAACCAAACACTGATCACATATGTTCATATGCAATTCCAAGCTAAGATGAAATGTATTATTATTATTATTATTATTATTATTATTATTATTATTATTATTATTATTATTATTATTATTATTATTATTATTATTTCATAGATTTATAGGCCGCCCAATCCCGGTGGACTCCGGGCGGCTTACAAAACAAGAAGAATGATTAATAAAAATAAAAGAACAAATTAAAAAAACATCACACATGCACCCAATCTGATTGGGGCTGGACCTCAGAAATGAGGTCAATAGCCCCAGGCCTGCCGGAATAGCCAGGTTTTAACAGCTTTGCTGAAGGCCATGAGATTGGGTAAGGTCCGGATCTCTGGGGGTAGCTGATTCCAAAGGGTCGGAGCAACCACAGAGAAGGCTCTCTCCGGGTGCCCGCCAGCCGACACTGTCTGGCTAACGGTGTCTGAAGGAGGCCCAGTCTGTGGGATCTTACCGGCCGTTGGGAAGTATGTGGCAGTAGGCGGTCTCACAGGTACACTGGTCCTAAGCCTTATAGGGCTTTAAAGGTAATAACCAACACCTTGAATTGCTTCCGGAGACCAATTGGTAGCCAGTGCAGTTCGCGGAGGACAGGTGTAACGCTCGCACGGCTGCATTCTGGACTAGCTGCAGTCTCCGAACACTATTCAAGGGTGGCCCCATGTAGAGCGTGTTGCAATAATCCAGCCTTGAGGTGACAAGGGCGTGAGTAA